AGAGAGAGAGAGAGAGAGAGAGTCGATAGAAATGAAGAAATGAAGGATGGGGTTGCGCCCTGTGGTTGGTTGCCGATTGGATTGCTTCGTGCCTTCCGCCGTCCCTAAAGTTTGCCTTCAGCTCCTGCTGCTACTGGGCATGCTGTTCGAACGGACAGGCTGTTTCGTGGAATTTGCCTTCTCCCTCTCTCTCTCTCTCTCCCTCTCCCTCCCTCTCTCTCTCCCTATCCCTCTCCCTCTCTCTCTCTCCATTTCCCCGCCCTCCAATGTTTTTCGTTTGTTTACGGCAGGATGCCAGCTCTTGTGTGTTTGGAGCTTGACGCGTTACAAGTGCTGCCGTCGCCTTCCCCAACACCCGGCTCAGTCTCCTGTCGCCCCTGATACCAATTATGCTTGGGATACGACTCCCCTCTTACGACCATCCCGCCCGTATCCCACCCTGTTTACTCACTTGTTGCTGCTTGTTTACTTCCGCCCGTTTGATTGGCCGATCGCGTCGGCAGGATCATCCTCATGTGCGCGACGCCGGTGATCCAATTCACGGTTCAGGCTCTTTCCGCCTACTTGCGCAACACGGAAGTGACGAACTTCTTCAACGTTCAGGTTTGGTCCCTATTGAAGAAAAAATGATTTTAAATAATTGATTTCCTGATCGGGAACGAAAACTCCGGGCCGGCCTAATCATTTTTATTACGTTTTTATATATTTGGTATTTGGGACGACATGTGAGACGCTCTCTGTTGGTGGTTTGTATGTGTGTTTCTTGTCAAAGTCCGACCGCATGCATTACACGTGTCCAGGCGTTTTTTCCTTGCCTTGCTCTCTAGGACTCAGGTCGACCTTGCGCCCACGCCACACGTTGTTCTTGTCGTCCACCTCTGTTTTAATTCGTTGATAATAAACAATAGTCTCACATCGTACCCTCTCCCTGTGCAATCCCTCGCCACTTTGCCCTCGTCATGCTCGTGTGGTTTGTTGCCTCTCGGGGGGACCCGCGCGCGCTTTATGGGTGTGTCTTGCAACCACCGGCGTGAATAAAATGGCAACCAACGTGCAGGTTCGCTACGTGCGGTTCTTCCGATACTTTTTCGAGAACAACGTGTTCATCATCGCCCTCCTCATCCTCGCTGTCTCTTCGGGCATTTACCTGGTAAGTCTAGTGATATATCACCGCATGACAGAGAAAACAAAAAAATAGTAGTGGCCGTTCTGGTAGTAGTGACGTGAGGCCGAAAATCATACTGTACAATTGAGAGAAAAAGCAAGTACTTTTTCGCATGTATGTAAAAAAGTAGTCTTGCCTTCCCTCCTCTCGCGCCTCTTTTGTTTGTGTCTCGCTCTTGCGATTCTCTGTCGCGTTCGTGTACATCGTCTCCGGTGCCTGCATTGCTCCCCTTCCCCCGCGTCCCACCCCTTACTCCTTCATCTGCGCCCCCTTTTACTTGTTGGAACCGAACCGTCAAAACATATGTAACAGTCGTGCAGGCCAGTGGACAGCCCGGTGAGCGCGCAAAACATCCAGGAGACCCTGAGGAAGTCGGCCGAGTACCAGTCGGCCCACTCGACGAACGGAGGAGGAGGAGGAGAAGAAGGAGGAGCCGCGGTGTCAGAAGGGAACGGCAACCCGGTTGGCTCGCTTTGACGCGTGGGTGTATAATTTTGATGTCGAGAATCGTGTTCTAACCTGTCTCGGCAGATGGGCGCGAGAGGCGTTACGGGCGCGTCGTATCCGACCAGGCGGGGAGGCCGCAGACAGGGTGGTGCGTGTATGTGCCTCGCCTCCGCCGGAGTGTCTGCTGTGACCCCTTTCCTCTCTTGGGGCTCTTCTTTTATTCCTCGCGAGGGAGAGGCAGGGCGGGGAAAGCAAGCTAGACGGGCAGCGGCGCGTTTTTGTGCGACGTCGGCCGTAGTTGTACCGCATGCCTCGCCGCAGAACGTTCTTCTTGGTGGTGTAGGATTGTTGTCCTTCACTCTCTCTTTCTTGGGAGAGGAATCGCAGAAGAGCATGCCATGGGTGCGCGGTGTTAGTCCTCGTCTCGGCGGGGGGTTCGCACCCTGGCAATAAACCATTTTGTTGTACTTTTTGTTTTTGCTTTTTTTTGTTTATAGAGTTGTGGGCGATTTCGTAGGAGGCCTACTGTACGGGGTGTTGAGGAGCGGGTAGGCCAAGGCTGGGCACTCACGGGTTGTTCGCTGCCAATACAAGGACTTGGTGCATGCTTGCATTTTCGAAACAAAGCCCCTTCGGTATTTTCATGTCGATCCTATTTCTTTTTTTTCGCGTTGAGGTGGTGTTCGCTTTCTCACGCAGTTTGTGTGCGGAACGGAGTCGAAATTCTGTCGGCGTTACCTGCTGGTCGGCTCGTGGTGTGTGGGTCATCTAGTCCCCAGCGTTAGGCCGGACCGTCCATCTTGGTGCCTTCCGTGTCGATGAATCTAACGATACGCCTCATGAAGTTGGAACTATGGCAGGATGACGGGTACGTACATGACTGGTTGATTGGAGGACGATTCTTTCTCTTTGTTTCAGATCTGTCACTCTCTCCCTCTCTCCCGGTGTAGTGTGTGCGTGTTGTCAAGTGTTCACAATTGTTGTTGGCTCTCTGTAGGTGGGATTGGGTCATGCCAACATCGCATTGCGTCATGGGGGTGGGCTGTACTCTAGGTACCAGGATTGGCGCGGCGACGGCGGAGGTTGCCGTCGGCGAGAGAGTGCTTGCTCTTTGGCGGTGCTCTGTCCAGAAAAATCGCCCGGTGGTCCGCTCTTGTTTTCCGGCCTTGCCTACGAATGGCGTGTAGACGATGTGTACGTGCCGCTTAGGTATACATGTGCTGTGATTCCGCGTTTTTGTTTCGTTCGTTCGTTCGTTCGTTCGTTCGTTCGTTCGTTCGTTCGTTCGTTCGTTCTGTTCTATTCTATTCTATGATGATAACGCTTCTATCTTGACGGTTGCATACCTCCCCACCACCACCTCACGGGTCCCGTGCTGTATGTACTCAAATAATTTGTATCATAGCCAGCCTGCGTGTGCTTCGTTGTTGTGGTTGTTGTTGTTGATGTTCGTGTGTGCATGTCGTTCGGGAGGGACGGAGGGCGGCGGGAGAGTTGGCGAGCTGGTCGTTACACCAACAACATTGTGAGCTTGTTCAACGTGCCGTGTTTTTTTCTGTCACACGTTGCGCAAAGTACAGACATAGCGCCCGCATTTATAGAACCTCTAGTTTCGGCCGGGGCTGGGGTTCTTGGTTCCTCTTGTGGGCTGAAATTGGCCGCTGTTTTAATGTAGGTTTTGTGTGGGGGCTCTTAACTGGTTAACTGGGGTTACAAATGGTGCTCAATTTCGCACGTTTTTATATAGGGCTGAGCACCAAGTACTTTTGCTTTCTGTTCAGGAAAAATACGCTTATTTTCGAAGAACCTACATGTGCATGTTGCGTATTTCGGCCATGTGTTGCCTTGATACCACCAACACGGGCGCTCGTCGTGTTGCCTTGATACTACCAACACGGACGCTCGTCCGATTCGCCAAACCTGTCACGTTCGGTCGCGATATGCTTCCAGAGACAGAGCGCTTATTGTGCTTGCTCTGCTTGAGCGCGGGCGGCGGTGCGAGCAGAGGCCCACGATCAGCATGCAGCGTATGCCTCTCGTTGTAGTGCTGATGGCCAAGTAGCCGGTGCCCGTCAAACCAATCACCATGTTGTTGTTGTTGACTTCACATTAAACCGTATGCCAGTTGCTAAATGCCAAAATCTAGCAAAGACTCTCAGCCCGTGGTCACGAAAGTGCTAGAGCCATCTGAGGATCTAAAGAACACGCACACGTAGCAAGAAAAAGGTATCCAAGAGCCCGAAGAGGTACTACTACACCTATATATAA